AATAGCACTTATCTGGTTCTCCCATTAAATTCTGGCTCTTGCATTAGTTTGTGGTCATACATTATTGAATTCCCTCTACCCCTTTTTGATCCATTCTGCACCACCAGCTCCCCACTCTGCAGATATTACATAAGAAATAGGATAGCTCTGCAGTGCCCAGATGTGAATCCAGTGCTCTTAGTAGGAAGACTACTACAGCCTACCTCAGTGTCTCTTACAGCACGAAAGACACTGCACGCCGTGTGGGAAGCACAGGTAGGACCACGCAGCACTGCCGCCAGTCCAGCCTGCACTTTCCTTCTCATCTGCTGCTTCTTGTCTCACAAACTGAAAATATTTTCCTGAGATTTGGAAAGTGTGGACCAGACTGTGTCTAGGAAAATAACTGAATTTATTTAACAAATACATATTGATCATCCCTTATGTGCCAGGTATGGGTTTCAGAGACTGGATGGGTCAGACATAGATCCTTGCACTTGTGGAGTACTTTGTGTCCTTGATGGATGACCCTTGATTACATAAAACAAGTATTTAGCCAGTGCTGAGGAGAGAAAGAAAAATAATAAAGGTTGACAGACATGAGGAAAGTGCAGTAGTCTTGAGAACTTTCTTAGAAAGGGGAGGGATGACCACACATTTGGAAAACAGAGAGCATTAGTGAAAAGAAATTGCCTTTGATCAACTATGTAAGACTAACAGTGTCATAGGTGTAGGAGCTGAATTTCCTTGATTTATCCAATGCAACATTGATGTAGATGGCCTTTACGAAAGTCCTGGAGTGTTCTTAGTTTCTGGGAGCTGTTGCTGAGCTCATGTCAACACTACAAGATAAATGCAGTCATTCAGCTAAGGGTCCTTACACCTAACAAGGTGTCACATGCTGCTAATGGGTGCCACAGCATTTAGGAACCCTCACCACACTGGGGACCAGGAAGTGTCCTATCATACATGTTACTTTGCTGGCTCATTTACTCAGCAAGTATGTATTTAGGCACCTTCTGTGTGCCAAGCACTACTATGTAGCATGTTACAAAGGTGACATGGAGCACACGATGTCAGCAGAAAGTCACTTGTGTTGTCCTACACCAGCAGTGGCACTGGTGACCCACGCTGGAAGAAGGAACTGCCTGAAACCACCTGTGGTTTGGATATACATTATTTTTTTTCCTGAAAATTCCTCCATTAAAATTTGTTTTATCTTTTTCAGAAAGGTGATAACAGGCTTCATTCACTAAGAAAAAATGGGAACAGTTTTTATTTCTCTTCAATTTCCTCTTATTTTTCAAAAATATTTGATTCGTCGATGCTCATATGCGAAGAATACTAAAGGAAAATCTCGCTCAAGTTTGAAAGGCATTTCTGCCTCCACAGTCAGCATAACAGCCATTCGGTAATGTGTAATTCTTGGGGAAATTTTCAGTTGTGAAATTCAAGAAGACAAAGGAGGCAACAGAAAACACGTACTAGAACTGAAGTAAGAATATGGTTATGTCAGCAAATAAATTCTGAAAATTGTTCCACTCTGATCACGGTCCACTATGTATTTAAAAATGTTTTCTGTGATGGTAAGGAAGTGATAATCGTGATGATATGGATTGTCATATGCAGGGTGCAACTGGGCACTGTACTCAGGCTTTCATGCCTGGTTTCAGTCTCAGGATACTGCAGGGGAAGAGCAGTGTCTGAGCTCAACTGTGTATAACTAAGTGATATAAGACTCAAAGAGGTTAAGTAAACTTCCCAGGGCCTAGGCTAAAAGGTGGGGGCAGGAGAAAGATTTAAACTTATCCAAAGGTGTGTGTTTCAACCAGGTGTAGGGAGCACTGATTGCGTGATCGTAACAAGGTCAAACAGTTATGTGCTCAGTGCAACTATAATTACTTTGCCTGTGCCCTTTGCTATCTGTAAATTCCCTCTTAAATGTTGTGTTTAAAGACATGCATTCATCATCTCTGAAATTCTGCTAGCAATTCAAAGTTTCCGCCTTGCAAGCTGAAGTCTTCCAGACTTGCAATTGAAACTCCATACAAGAAGTGTTTGGACCTGACTCAAATATTTAGACTATTGTTCTTTTATGGGATTTGGTGCTCTGTGCAAATCCCTTCCTACTGGAGTCAAGTTTCAAAGTAAATGAAGGTTGAGCAGCCACAGGGTGACATGAGGACCATAGCCCGGTGGAGAGCACTCCAGAAACAGTATTCTCAGGTGCCTCTCATCAGCAGAAGCACTGGAGAACATCACCTTCCCTTATACCGAGTGTGATATTAGACATGTAAGCTAGCATCACGGTTGAACAGTTCTAACAGACTGTGGACGTAAGAAATGTGCTTCCTTTTGTAACCAAATCATTTCAACAATAAGCTAAAGAGAATAATTTAGTGCATGCAAAGTTTTATTTAATCTCTATGAGTGAGGACAGCTTTTCATTTAGAAAAGCATTTTTCATTAGAAATATGTTGCATGGGATCTACATGTGCCATTAGCTCATTCTCTTCCCTTTCTTCCCTCCTTCCCTCCCTCCCTCCCTCCCTCCTTTCCTTCCTCTTTTAGACAGACTGAACATTTGTGCTTCTGCATCCTTATTAAATCTGCTATAACAAAGTCTTGGGACCACTCAGAGAAGTACTTAGGTAACTCTTGTACTTAAAATCCCAGAATGAATTAGCAGACTGTCAAGGATTTGCACCAGAGCAGCCCAAGAGAATCTTGGATGCTATCTGCATGATTCCCACAGTATCATTTATGCTCAAAAATCTTAGAGTACAAAAACAGAAGTTTAATGAAAAATGAAATATTCAAAAGATGTTTTTGCAATAAAATGAATGTTGATTATTTCCCTATACCTGAGAGAGGTTCATGCTGCTTATCAGTACAGTTCAGGAATTTGAGATTCATATGGTTAATTTTATCACCTGAACACCAATTCTTAAAAAGTTGTTGAGCATTTCAACATCCTTAAATTCCTTCTGGACCATGCTTAGAAAGTAAATGTTTTAAATGTGGGATAACAGCTGGTATTTCAAGAAAGTAATGGAGGCACCCACCCGCTTGATTCTCCCTTGCACCACATAATTAGCTTTTGCATCATAAAATCAACCTAAGTCAATGTGGAAACAGCCTATCTGTAGGACTCTGAAATTTGATATTTCAATTTGAATCTTATCCCAAAGGAAAAGAGAAAAAAGGTACTGGGAAAAGAGAACCGGTACTTGGAACTTTTCTAAAATAAACCCTACCTGGTGGACACAACTGCATAATCTTGTGACCCAAAATATATTTCAGTGTAATCTGCATCACCAAATATAGGTTCCATCACTCTGTCACTTGGAAGCTGTGAGCAACTCTCCAAGGCAAGCCTACACTTTCTAAGAATGTGAATTTACAATTAAAATGAAGTGAACTATCAAGGTACTTGAAAAAAAGTGTACAGCGCAGAGTGTATGCAAATCGCCTGGTTAATTCTGACTTCTTGGGTCAGAAATGTCTTTGTATTAAATTTCACCAACCAGGATGGGGAGGGAGAATGAGCCCAGCAATTTTCCTCATGGAGAAAATTTCAGTCCTACTTATAGGAATAGCTTTTAAAATGTTGTATATTTTTAAAATAATAGTTTCATACACTGAGCATAAGTAAGCTAAATAGTTTGTACATAATTCATAATTTGAGTGTCTGCTAAGAACTTCAAACCACCACTATACAAATGTAAAGCTTAGTTTACATTTGATTTCAATCTGCTATTATTCATGAATTTGACATTATCATTGGGGCTGAACTGTACAATTGTCTAGAAAGTACAGTGATATTATTTCTCATCAACTATATGTATAAATCTCTTTTAGTCTTCAGAAATAGCTTTGGTTTTACTACATACATTAAGGAAGCAGCTGAGTCAGCAGCTTGTGCTGTAAAATTTATGATTATATAATTTCTCATCATGGTTCAACAGTGGAAAAAACAAAAATACTGGAAGCAAACAAACCTGAAAGAGATGTATCTACGATAGACAGACATAGGCAAATTCAAAATTATATTTGCTTGGTAATCACATTGCATACTTGGTAATCACATTGCATACTTGGTAATCACACTGCATAAAGTATTTCCAGCCAGGTTTGCATTATCATTTGACCTCCACATGCCATACATTTCAGCAGGGAACGCAGGTTTCTGTGGCTACACTTTTGACCTTGACCATACAACTTGGTGTTTTATGTCTCTTAGCAAACTTAGAATGCCTCTGGTAACCCGAACGGAGGTTATCTAAGATTAAGGTGCTCACATGTTTAAGCTGCTCAGTTCTGTAATTTGGGTTTTAATTATTCAGCAGGCAAGGACAGATGGGGAGGCATATCTCTGAGAACAGGCTTTCCTTACTGCATGAGTCCTGGGCTTTCTTAATGTACAGTGTACCCTGCAAAGCCAGACGGAGGAGAGACCTGCATTGTGCTGCAGCCTCCAGCGTTGCTACAGTGCTCGGGCTGGGCTGTGCATTCAGCCGAGCTCAACAGAAATGTGCGGCACCAGTCTGCAGGAACGGAAGCTTTCCTGGAGAAAGCTGCAGTAGGGTAAGCCACTTTTGCCTGGATATTGCTTGTTGGGTTTTCATATTTTTGCATTGTTCTGATTAATAATCTCACCCTTATTGTAACAGAATCACCCAACACTATAAGTTTTACTTCTGATTTCTTCCCCTCATTGTGCATTTCGATGAACTTCCTGCCCTGCCTTCTTCTGCTTGGAGACAGCAGCTACACAAAAAGCACTGAACTCCACTGCATCAACTCACTGCAGTTGGACGTTCTTAAACCATCCAACTTTAATTGTCCTCAGGTCTTAACTCTCTTCTAATGCAAGAGCACTCCAAAGCCAGGCAGTGTGTTCGCCAATTAGCAGAAAGAGAAAGAAAAAGTTAACACAGCAGAAGTAACATGAGTTCAGAGTCTTAGCTGAAAGAAACTTGAAAGGAATCCAACTCTCATAGGAGAGCCAGTTTTCTTACCTTGGATGTGGATAACTCTGTCCTGATTCAGAGTGTAGTTGTCCAAGTGATGGTCTGCCCAGCAGACGGAAACCAGCACCAGAAGAAGTAGGCTCCTCATCTTCGTAGCCCGGAGGTCTTCTTCACTGTGTGGACATCACGCAGAGACAGCTGTGAGCTCTGGAACCCTGAGTGTTGCACTGCACAACTTCTCACCGCCTTATCATCCTGCAATGGGTCTGGACAAATATTTAACCCGATCTGTCCAGAAAGCTATTGGAGCTCTTTGAGAGCACAAGACGACAGCTTTGAACTGTTTCAGCTCCTTTTAGGCAGCCAGAGCTCAAACAGTGTTTAACTCTGTCTTGGCAGAACTATAAATCCTGAAATTTCAAATTTCTAGTTTTGACTCAAAAAGTAACACCAAGGTCCAGAAAGATGTGGGGAGGACACGGGCTCATAAGAATATGAGGCTTCTAAAAAAATTAACCCTCTGAGTTTGGGGTAAAAGTAGTAAGATAGCAATGTGATGCATCTCTCTGTGTGAATGGCTATCACTTGGTCTAAAAACAGTTGGCTACTAAAGCAGGGCAGATGGAAGATAATTGCATGAAACTCAACATCAACATTCAGTTTACGTGTGGCTTCCTGAGCTGGTTAGATTTGCTTGCTGTGAATTTAAAAGAGAACTGGAAAAAGAAAAAGCCCAATTAAGCAGCAGGAACATGTGGGTTGCCATTCACTTACCATCCTAAGCACTGCTCGGGTCTATGGTGACTAGCTGAAATGATGGGCAAACTAGGTTAGAGTGATGCGTGTTGCCACTGCAGTCCTGCTGACTGATTTTTCATTCATCCCACCCCAGAGTGCTGACGCACCGACTTACAGTGCCAGGTAGGGTCTCTGCAGTCAGCACAGCCACAGGGCTGCAGGGACATCCCTGCCAGCCCCGCAGAGCAATTAGGCAAATGCAGAGCTGAAATGAAGAGGGAGGACAGCGCTGTCCCCAGTGAGACAGGCAGAGCATCATTTGCCTGTCCTTCACCCAAAGCCTGACTTGATAAGAGGGGACCAACCTCTTCTCCCCTTAAAACTTTGTCATGGGAAGGACCAAAAAGTGATTCTAAGCAATAAAAACCTGACACCCTTTCAGGGCTTGCCAGGCAGGAGTTCCAGGGCAGCTTCTGTGCTCCAGTGTGGGAAGCCGAAGCAAATATTAACAAGGACTTTCTTTTGCTCACAAGACCTCAGCAGACTTAATAATGCTGGCTATTTTTAAAACTGAAATTGACTGGGACTGGCTCCTCACACTAATTTGTTTTTTCCAGGAAAGCCTGACTCTGGAATATTTATTAAAGAGCCCTGAGTCTGTTCCTGGAGGTCCTTGAGAGTGAGCTGTGCCCCAGAGCCCAAAGCCCTCGCTCATGGAAGCACCCCAGGCTCTCTTGGAGCTGCGTCCCAGTATCCCCCTGTGAAACCTTCATTACTACAATGCTTTGGCTCCCGTCTTTCAAGTGTGCTGTAATTACTTTTCATGAAGAAGGTAGTGGATAAAGAAATTATGCAACTTATTTGTTCCAGGAAACCAACTGTATTACCTTTGAAATTTTACTTGATTTACTGATCTAGTTTGCAGAAGTTCACTGGTTGCTTCCTCTGAAGATTTTTGTCAAATGGTAAGTTATATGGCCCTTGGCTTTTGTCTACAGGTTTACAATGAATAAATACTACCTGTTTTCAGCTCAGAACTCTCTCTCTCCTCTCTCTCTCCCTCTCTGTCTTTTTTCTGGTGAACAAATATATAAAAGTAATCTTTTGAAAGGATAATTGGGATAATAATATAACAAACATAAAAATAATGAGCAAAGAACAACAGAGGACTGATGGGCTCCATGCTCGCCCCAGGAGTAAGAGACAGGAAGATGGTTCATCTTGAAGAGAAGGGCATTGCAAACTGCATGTGTAACCACAGAAAAGAAGGAAAAGATCCCCCTACGTGTGGGGCTGCGGTGAACAAAGGCGTGGACTATGCTGCGTGTTTCTCCCCCGAGTGCAGTCACTTACAGTTTAATATGTAGAGAGATCTGTACTCATACACAGAATTCTACATCAACATTGCTGCAACCCCCTTCATTTTCAATGCTATTTTACTTAAAATACGTTATACACAAATCTATACATCTCCTTTAATCTGATGCCACAGTATCTATCTTAGCGAAGGTTCATATTATTGAGTTAAGGTATTAATTTCCCAGCAGCTCCAGTGCTGACACGCAAACATTCTGCAAATGTGTGTGTGTATGTGTGTGGGGAGATGGATGGTAATGATTGACATTGTTGACAACAATAATAATAATAATAACAATAGTAGCACTTTCTTTTTATGTGTGCCTCCCATTTGCCAAGTCCTATGTTAACCATTTTGCATGCGAACAGGTCATTCCAAGGATTACAACAATATTACATATTATGGCACATTTCCATTTTTCAGATTCAGACAGTTATCTTGCTGATGGTCATACATCTGGCAAGTGGCAAAGTTTGGATTTATCCCTAGGCAAAAGCAACGCTTATTTTTCTTTAGGAAGTACTTAATAGTTGCTTTTTTGGTTTTGTATTTTACCTAGGTGTTTTGACATGAAGCTACTATGACCTTAAAACCTTGACTCGTATTACATATGAATATGAATTTTTTTCAAAGATTTATACATGAAAGGTCAATCAGCTGGCACCTTCCTTATCATTGTGTTCTGATTTAAAGATACTGTGCCTGTGTAGTAATTTCTAGTAAACACAGAGCTATATATAGATGAATACCATTCCTGACCCAACATGGGCATTAGTGCAACCCAGGCAGGAGAAAATCTTTGCTAATTTTCCTACTAATAAACATGATACAAGGAAAGCAAAGTTGGGGATACAATGTTCAGCAGAAGGTGCCGCATAGCACAGTGAGGCCCTTGCAGGCATGGGTTATACCACGAGCTGTGTCCTTGTCCCCAACAGGAAATGACCATCAGACCCGGAGTGTGATCATATGAATGAACAACCTGAATCATTTGTATTTTGTCACTGTGTCTCCCCTGAATAGCTTGACATATTAGGTGAAAATTTGTAGTTCTTTATGTGAACAAAATTATCAGAAATGTCAGGGAACTGTTACAGGAGCAGCTGTTAGGACCGCCCCTGAGTTACACCTTTAGTGCATCTACACCCGACCCACTGATGGGCACCTTTGCTGCTAGGCCACTGCAGTGGGCTTGAAAGTGAGGCCAATCTGAGAGGGTCAAAGACAGCGATAGGAAGTTGATGCTCGAGTTTGGCTTTGGTGATAACTGAGTAACCACAAATGTCTGATGGTTTAACACCCTGATATGCTAATACCATTCAGCATCTGTCTTACAGTTATTGCACAAGGTGATAGAGAAATAAAGCCAAGCAGAAGGACCCGTGCTACTTTCCATGCTTTGAGAGCAACGTTAAGTTGTTTCCTGAGCTACTGCCACATGCTGGGTGCTGTCTTTAAGTTGTACTACTTGCTATTTCTCAGAAGAAGCACACTGAAGTATGAATGATTGTTTCCCACATTTTTTAGTTTCAGAAATGGGATTTCCAAGTAGGGTACACCCAGCACAGTGAGCCCTGGGAGCCCCCAAGATCGGACTGACAGTCTGCACTCTGACCACCATGACTGATATGCACAGCACTAAGAAAACGGTCAGCTCCCTCCCAGGCCCTGCTGTGGCATCTCTGAGCTGCGACCCAAGCAGGAATGTGTCTCCTAACCCTGTCTCGCTGGGTCCCAGCAGAGTCCCAGGAGCCCGTGAAGCCTAACTGCAGGCTCAGGGCCCAGAGCAGCTTCTGTGCACTAGAAAAGGATGATGGGAAACCCAGGCTGGGACCGGGCCTGAAAATGATGAAAAGAAGTCAGGACTGAGGCGCTTCGCGCTCTTTAAACATTTCTGTATGTTACTGCACGAAATAAAGTGAAAACTTACCTTTCCCTCCACTGAGGAACTAAACCAAACTTCCACTTAGCATATGAAGTTTGGCGTAAAAAGTTCTGAAAATCAATGCAGAAATGCTTGAAGCTGAATGAGAAAGGAAACCATGGCATTTTGTTGGACACAGTGATTTTGAAATGGACTAACTGGAGTCCCCCTTGACATGGTCTAAGTCTGATCAAGTCAGGGCAGGTGACCAGTGTTTTCTAAATGCTGGTCAGTGGAGCAGGGTTATAAAATAAATATGTTAAAACAGGAAGTGTGAAAGTATTAAGCTAACTCAGTTTAAAATATTGTTCTTTCTTCTGAAATACCCTCTTTACATTTTTGTGGTTAGAATGGCCTATGTTTCATAAAATTCTAAATTTTAGAATTTTTTAAAAACAGAATTGTTTTAAATCCACCTAACTATGCCACCTAACTAAAAAAAAATGAAGAAATAAAGGGAAATTTTTTAAATGAAGAAATAAAGAGTTTCTCAATGTCTTTGCTAGTGACAGGTTTCTTTTTCCTGTGCTGGTGTTGCAGGAAGTTTAGAATCACAACATGAGCCCAAATAATGTTTAACACGTTAGTGATGCAGTTGAATTCTTTTAGGTAAAGAAGAACAATTGGATATGTTGATAAATTTAATAATAAGATTTTTACCTAAGTTTCGAGATGTACTATGTACAAGGGCAGAAAGCAGAACAGACTGGAATACTTAGCAGCAACCACTGGCGATGCTGATAAGGTTAATAATAAGATTTTTATCTAAGTCTTAAGATATATTTTGTACAATAGGGCACAGTACAGAACTGCTAGGAACACCTAGCAAGAACAATTGGTTATCTTGATAAGATTTTTACCTAAGACTCAAGATATGCTGTGACAATGGGCTAGACCATTGCACTCCTGGAAGTACCCTAAAGCCAGACAGGTGACCAAAGAGACAAAGAAAACTTTGCTGCCGTGTGCAACCAAGTTCTTCTCAGACGAGCAGGGATAAGTCTCAGGTGAACACAGCCTCTCCCGGTGTACCTTCACAGCTGTGGTGAGCTGCCAGGCAGGAGCCACTTCTCTGAGGTCGTGAGTGGGATTTCCTGCTGCAGGCCTCCTAGTCTGGCCAAGGCCAGTCTGTTGCTTGTGTGTCCTTAACAGAG